CTTTCCCTTTGTGCAGAAGTAGGCTGGGAGGGACGCGACCCATCTCAACAGCTTCGCTAAGGTGCTCAGTCAGGGTGGCGTTGCCGCGGTGCGGTACAACTGAGAAACAGGCCTGTACCCAGTTCTGCTGTGTGCGTGAGGACAACCGCTGAACACCCTAGAAGGTGTTGGGAAATGTGCATGCCGATGTTAGGGATTGTGATACGCCTGTCAGGTTTAAGGTGTTTGATCTGTTTAATTTGTTGGCTTTACTGTGCTCTCCAGATTTCCGTGTTGAAAGAGATCTGGTTGTTGACAGTTATGTCTGGCTGAAAAAAACCCACATTACTATCCAGTGGTGGGATCTGAAGCTGAATTCAGGGTGGAAATAGGGCACAGTTGATAACAGAAGTATCATTCATCACTAAGAGCTGCTTGTTTAGCACGGTTTGACTGCGGGCAGTCCCTAAACCAAACCAAGAAGCCTTGCTAAAGTGTGTGCTTCTGATGCACCATCCACGTTTCTGACTGGGCTGTGTGGACAGCGTTTGTTACCACAAGCGTAAGATGGAAGGAGTCCTTCCAGTTTCTGACCCTCGGTTTCCCTTCCCGTGTTACAGGTGGGTCTGTCAAGCTACGGGAATCCTCGGCACGCGCTGCTGCTTTCCATGATGGCCGGGATGTGCGTGTCCATGTTTCTCTTCCGCGTCACGGTCACGGGCGATTCTCCCAAGGTAATTCATGCGCGAGCAGCTGACCGTCGGTTGTAGGGATAGCCCTTTAACGGTGAGGAGTTTGATGACAGGGAGCGTGACTGTTTCCTTCACCCTTCCCAGGAACTTTAAGTTTGCGTTTTCTTTGTTTGCGCTAGAGAGAAGCAGGCTAGCTTAGTCTGGTTTGGACTGCTGCTGCTGCCTAAGTTGGCTTGGGTAGCCTGCGTTACCGGCTATAGCGTAGACGTGACTTGCATCTGCCCTAATGATTGCTAAATAAATGAAACCTCTTTTCTCCTTTCCCTTTTTTTCTTCTTCAGGAAAATCACTTCTGGACTGTAGCCTTGCAACCTCTAGCTGATCTTACAGGCCTAAAAGAACATGAGGTTTCTGCCTTGCATTTTTTTCTCCCTCTGCCTGTTTCTGCTTTCGCTGGTCTGCCTTTTTCCTATCCTGGGAGGTTGGTTAGCGCTCCAGAACTTAGAACCAGGGCATTGAGAAGATTACTGTAAGTTTTGTGAAAGAAACCTTTTCTTGTAATCATTTGATCACACTAACTGACTTTAAAAGCCTGAACATAAAAATTTTGAGTTCTTGTATAGAAGGTTCCGAGGGCATTTGTTTATCAGGTAAAACATAGCCGGTTAAGGGGTTTTGTGAGTGAGGTCAGAAGGACTGATTCTGTTCCTGTAGATGCCTTCCTGCTTAACTTTGGCAGGTGTCCTCCTGACTCTTTGTTTCTGTGTCCTATCTGGAAAATAAGATGGCATTTACTTCCTTCTGCGCATCTTGAAATGGTGTTTAGAGTTCAAAAAGCGTGCTGTACTCTTGAGGTGGTCGAGTTACTTATCCTTCGTCGTCCTTTCACAAGAAATTCTGAGCCAGGTAGCTTTTGTAGAGCGTAAGCTAACACTGAAGCTCAGACTGCTGGGGTTTTTTGGTTTTGCTTCTGTGTTTGTTTAGTAACACAGAGGTTATCAGATAGTGGCTACTCGCAAATAAAGATGTTCTGCTCAGTCGCTCGCATCTAAAATGAGAAAAGCTTTTAGGTGCTGTCTCCGGGATCATTTTTAAAAGCAACTCGATTCACAGCTCTCTCCTGCCATTTCACGGGCTCATTGCCCATCTCTCTTCAACGTTCTGGTTCTTTCTTGCAAAACAGCGCATAGCGTACGTACACGGTGTAGGGGGCAGAACTGTAGGAGAGAGGAGAGCGCGCGCTGGCTAACAAGACGGAGGTGCAGCTGGGCTGTGTATACGTGGGGTCTGTCACAGGCTTGAGCTCTCTGTCGGCAGGCCAGGGAGCTGGTGTCAGCCCGAAAATGTCAAAACCCCCTCGTACCGTGCGCATAGGATCTGAGATTTGTCAGCAGCTGCTGACTGGCAGGGGTAAGATGCACAGATCCTGTTTCTGATCTTAACTTGTTTTGACAGCTGTGGATCCTGACTCTGGGAGCTGTGTTTGGGTTCTCCTCATACGGGCCGATCGCCCTGTTTGGGGTTATAGCCAACGAAAGTGCCCCTGCCAACCTGTGTGGCACCTCCCACGCCATAGTGGCCCTCATGGCCAACGGTGAGTAACACCCGTTTCCCTGAAAACCAAAGAAAACCCGTGTGCGTTCTTGGTGACGCATGGTCTAGCCCCTGGGTGCCAAGTTACCAATCGTGGGAAGTCAGCTGAGAAGCAGAGGTAATGCTTCCTGCTGTACCTGACGGGTTTTTGCCTCGTGCTTTAAGTTCAAACCAGGCCCAAGGAACTTTTATACCTGCAAAACCGAGTGCTGGCGGATAAAATTGAGACGCTCAAGCATTGCTAGTTTTCTCTTTGTTTTTCCTTACAGTTGGGGGTTTTCTGGCTGGACTACCCTTCAGTACCATTGCCAAGCACTACAGCTGGGCCACAGCCTTCTGGGTAGCCGAAATCACCTGTACCAGTAGCACGGTGGCTTTCTTCTTACTGCGGAACATCCGCACCAAGATGGGCCGGATTCCCAGGAAGGCTGACTGAGGATAAGCCGCTTGGTGAAAAGGATGCTCCCACACCACCGTGAACAATGCTCAGTTTTTGTTTAACTGGCCTAGGAGCGAGTTTACCTATTGCTGCAACCTAGATAAAAATGTCTCAATTTCTCGTCCACTGTCACGTGCCTGAGGGCACAAGGTTCCTGCTACCGATCACTTTTTCCCTCGAGATGTGATAATTCAGCTAGTTTACATTTGCAATGATTTTACTGTACCTCCTCCTCACAGCACTGTTGGTGAGGCAAGCAGGCTTCGCAGCCTGAGCTTCTTCACTAAAAGTGCTCTAAAATGACCGGCTTCAGGTGCTGTCACATTTAGTTTTGTCCTTACTGTTCGTCTTGGCCATTAACTGTCAAGTCAGCCTCGTTGTTCAGGGGTGCTGAAGCGAGCCTTCGCCGCGTTCGTTCACCCCCTCCAGCCGCTGTAAGCGCAGCTGTCTCGGTTCGCTTAGGCGCGAGCTCCCTGCGCGCTCTCGGCCCTAGAACGGTGGCAGAGCAGGGAGCGATGACCATGACGGTTCGGCCTCACGGCTGACTGGAGGGCAGCGTGGCTTTAGCTTTACTCGGGATGAGCTGTTAGGAGCGAGGGTGGTGTTTTGCTCTGGAGAAGCGGAACGCCGATGCGGTGCTGTGGCAGGGCTCTCCGCAGCGCTTAGAAATAGGCACGTTTCCAAGAAATTCTTGGCACTTCAGGGGAGAGCGTTTAGAGAAGCTCCTTCTGTTGAACTGATCCGGCCCGGTGCGATTTCTGCGGACGGCGTTAATGATTTGCAAGGGAGGCAGCTGCTGCCAAGTCAGCTTGTAGCGAGCGCTCTGCAAATCAGCCAGGAAAACTGACCCGGCGGCAGGGATTGGGCGCGGCGCCGCAG